TGTGTCTAAAGACAGAATAGGTAAAACAAATCACTCAAATGTCATCTGCATGTATAAGTGCTCTGAGTGTTCTAGAATCTACTACAATAAGACTAGCAGAAAGAATAAAGGAGCATAGTTTACTAAGGTATTTGGAAGCATCAAACATTCTGAAACATAATAGTTTGTAGTGACAATACTGTAACTATTCAAATTATGGGAACTGCAGAAAAGTTATAATTTTCCTATACTGAAAATGTATTTCCGATAGGTACTTCCCACCACTTACAATGTTAGCTTTTCCCATTTCATGCTCCCCTCTATATGCAAACTTTTTTATAATGCATGCTACAAGCCTTCCGCACCCCCTCCCCCCAACTGGAATAAAAGATTCCAACATGTCTCTTATGCAAATCATCATGCATCATATCTCCACCAATAGGAGAGCACTATTATCACATGATGCATGTGCCTCCCTCTAGAGGCCACTACCAAACCATCACTTCGAAGTTTGGTATATGATGCTTGTTTAATATGTACTGTTGAGACAGATATATGTGTATGTTAGTACATGAGCCTCTCATAACATATGGACTAATGTGTATATTTAACTGTGTACAAGAATTTAATATATACAAAAGCAGAATTTTTCAGACAAATAAAGAATTTGGTTTGAAATACTGAAATGTGTATGTCTGGTAAAGACTGCAATTATTAGCTTAAACCACTAAAAAGAAAAATGGTGTATTATGCATTATGAATACATTCAGTTTTGTTCTAAATTGGAATATTTCTAAGTATTTGATTTTTGACTGAAAGAGAGATGTGGAGTTTCTTGATACATCACACCATCATTGCTTCTGTTGGTGCTGGTGAAGGAATATTTTTCAGTTTTTAAAGTTTCCAAAGAAAAAAAATTGGAAAAAATTCAATTGAAATTGGAAATTTCATATCTTGTGTATTTCTTAATGGATTGCCTTGAAATTTGATATGTGAAGTAAGGGTTCAATAGAGCACATCCATTTGAAAATATGTGCTAGTTTGGATTACCACAGTTCAGGCTACACAAAACAGAAAACTGCTAAACTACCACTCCTGTTAATAACAAACAGTGTGTCCTGCAGGTTATTTTGGCCACACGACTCACTACCATATATCTTGATAGAATTAATTTGGAAATCAAGTATGGTTTTACTATTTACTTGGATACATTTAATTTGCATCAAAAGTAAGTTGGAGATGTGAATGGTTTATGTTATAAAGCATTCTGTGTTAGAAGTTTTAGACACCCTTTAGAGACTGGATAAATTCCAATTGTTGATGTAATGTGTGGATTTACATCTTTACCCCTTTCCCTTGTCCCCATATTGCTGGAACTGACATTTTGCCTTTCCAGTAATGAGATAATGAAGGGAGAACTCATATTTGTTGAAATGGTTGTAGTCACTGACTGGTAGTCCTTTAGCAGTGGCTAGATCAAGTCAAAGGTCTTACTAGCTTAGCTGTATTTGCATTATTACATAAAGCTTGCAATACTTATATTCATGCAAAACAAGGAAAGAGGGATGAATGCATTCACCAATGACAATGTGAGATATATCATTTGTGCTATATCTTAGTCCAGATGACTCCTTCCTAGAAAAGATTAGGTCCTGATCTGATTCATTCTAAGATAGCTTGCTGAACTTCTATGCATCACCAGTTGAATTGACTGTAGTTTTTAATTTTGGCTTGTTGATAGAGCCATAAGTCTTGTGAGATGCCAGACTGTTGTTGTATTAATTATGACTACTATAAACTGTCCATGGATCTGAAGATCTTCAAATCAATAAACTGTGGATACATTTTTGACACAAAATAACACCACAAGCAACAACCAAATACCAGTAACTATGGTAACCAATGGTGCATCTCACAAGTGGTTGCCTTATCAGCTACTGATGGTGTGTTGTGAGTTTACCATAGTTGTAACAGATAATGAATCATGATTCTGAAAAGAGATTCTGAGAATCAACCATCATATCTAGGAAAGACACTTCTACATTTCAACAAACCTTATCAGGAACAAGATCAAAAAAGATTTTAAATAATCTTCAATTTATTATGATCCACCTTCTGTTTATTTCAAATTAACTTTATTTTTATATATAAAGTCTTATTTCTGCAATGGCTTCATTTCAAGGTTCAGGCATATGAATTCTACATATATTCTGTTAAAGTTTTCATGCAGGTAGTCTGCATGTATTTAAACATCCTTGCAAAGCAAATATAAGAAGGTCATAAACTTGTGGTAATCCTCTAGCTTACATAAACATTACATATCACAACAACTGTCCCATAGGACTTGTACTTGCTTTGTCTGTTTCTGTGCTATGACCTTCTGAAATGAGGTTATACTAATTTTAACCCGATCATTACCGGCTACTAACTTTCTTAGTAGGCAATGCAAGTCTTGCTATATTTCATTCCAACAATAAAACTAGTGGATGATTATGTTTGAAACTTCATAAGAACCATCATAAATGTATGTAGTTTAAGAAACATAAAGACTATTACTTTTGATAAATTTAGTTTTCTTGCATTATGATCTTTAATATCTTGGAAAATTACATTAGGAAATGGTATTTATAAGAAATGATTACCATATTTATATTTGTTCCAGATTTGAACTTATTACTTTCTATGTTTTAGTACATTATTTTGAAATCCCCAAAAAATTGTATCCTCCATAAAATGCAAATTTTATCTATTTTTAATTTTTTTGAATAATCACATACTCTTCTTATGGTTTCAAGTAATATACAGACCCGAAAATAATATTTGTAAATAAACCTAAACAATAAATGAGTATTTTTATTTTTGACTAGGATTTCATGTTTATATATGTACATAAAAATATTTTAATCTTGTTTCATAAATATATTTTTATTTCAAATTTATGTTTATGTTTCATTGCAGTCGTACTTTTGTTTATTGTACCGAATAAACCGTTGGGTCAGCAGCGTGAACTTTGTATGTTTTCTGTAAACTATCTCGCCCCTGTTGGTGGTCACTCTCGTTCAACCAAGCGCGGGCACATTTGAACGTTACTGTAGATATGATAGTAAGAAAGCTTTTTGGTACTTGAATATAATTTCTTTGAACTTTCAAACAAGTTTATTTCAACATATGTCCGTGTATGTTGTTTCAGAATAGAGACATAACTAATTGCCACTACTAACGAATGTATGTAACAGTTTATAGTATAGGTGGTTTCAATAAACACTGCCTGAGCCTGACCCCTTGTTACTTGATACATCCTGTTAGAAGAGATTACATAACAATACAGTCACCATAAATTACAAAGAAAAATTACTTTACAGCACTTAAAAGATTAGTCCTGGTCACATTCCTCTCATTATAGGCAAGATTTATGTTGGAATGCAAAACTTAAGCTCTTCAATGTATTGAGACCCCAACTGTGAGAATGTCATAGCTTCCCTGTATTATTGAGATGAATGTATTTAGCCTGTTTCACAACCATTTGTAAGAAGGAAAAATATAAAATTCTTATGTGGTACTGGTACTAGTAGTATTACGTACAAATCACACAAGTTTATCATTCTAAATACTGAATCATATTATTCTTATTATGAACTAAATATAAAATTATGCTAAATTATTGAACTTAAAACTACAAATTTAAATTCAAAAGAATATAAAAAATCACAAACTCTTTCAGTTCAATGTCCTAAGTCTAGTTCATCTAAAGACTTTGCATTCACCACTCGATAGCTCTTAACCCTAAAAATCGTGGATCAACTTCTTCCTAAAAAATATATCTATTTTGCGTTGATTTTTCAATATAATGATTAATATAAACCGATATATGATGCAGCATGACTTAAGCTACTATATAAGAATAATAAAAGTCACAACATCCCATGCAGTT